GCCGGTGCGGGGGGGGGCGGTGCGGGGAGTGGGCCCCGGCCGCCAGTGCGGCCGCAGGACGCGGCGCCCGGACCCTCACCCTGTCCTGCACCTGGCCGGGAGCAATGCGAGGATTTGTGCCACGGAGCCTGCTCCTCTCTGGGCCGGGGCACAGCCCAGACACCGAAACCCCAGTTATCCCAGCGCCAAAGTCCTGTGCCCACAGCGTCCCCTCCAAAGTGGCCTGGGGACCCACCGGCTGTACACATCAGAGCAGTCCCATGCATCCTACAAGGGAAGCCCAGAGCCGCGAAAGGTGCCTGCGAAGCGAGGGACGCCCTGGCACGAGTGCCAGGCGCAGCCTCAAGCACATCCCGTCACAGCCCGACGGCCCTTCCACGAAGGCCCAAGGCAGCACATCCCCTTCCAGCAAAGGAAACTGAAGCTGCCCCTGACTCATCATGGCATGGGAGGCCCGAAGCAGAACCGCTTCCCTTGGGTACCTGCTTTAATTATAAACTCTCTATCCTTCCTTCCTGATTGCTCCCCCTTTGGGGATCTCTCCGATTCACTCACCAAAACAAGCTGTCCCTTATGACAATAAGATGAGGGCAAAATGCCACAGCCAGAATGGGGAAAAAGAATTACACCCAGGAAGAACACAGCAGTGAGCTGCAGAATACATTCAAAAAGATGCCAGCACCAGGTACTGCAAGACATGGAAAAGGAAGCGGTTGGTCTCACCTCCTGGAGCTGGGATTCCTTCTTCTTCGAAGACAAGTTTAAATGCTTTTCCAGGACCCCACAATACTTCTCAGTCTCCTTATCATATTTCTTTTTGGCATCCTACAAGACCAAACAAAAGGTATTACAGAAAATACAACAGCGCTGCAGCCACTGCACAGGCCGCAGTGGCGTCACAGCCGCATCACGAGGGGCTTGCGAGCCCCAGGCATGAGCCAACCCCACCTGCAAAACCTGTGCCAGACAGGGCAAAACAGCGAAAAAGCAAAGGATTTTACACCAAAAGGGCAATGAGAAAATGGGTTTCACTACTAAAACCCAAACTTGGGAGAGCATCTCTGAGGATGCGGCAACTTGCTACCCACCTTAGCGGCGCCAATCTGCTCCTTGCGGAACTTCTCCAGCGGCGTGATGAGCACCTCGCTGGCATTCTCGATCTGCGGCCACATGGGACGGGTCACAGGCAGCTCTGCTCCCCCGGGGGGCGCCAGCGGCCTCGTGCCAGGACCACACACTGCCCAGCACCTCAGCACTGCCCCATCCCGCTCCGTTCTCCCACACACACCACAAAGTGCCCCGGCCCCATGGCACTGCCGTCCCGCTCCGTTCTCCCGCATGCACTGCCCAGCGTCCCGTCCCCTCGGCACTGCCATCCCACTCCGTTCTCCCACATACACTGCTCAGCGCCCCAGTTCCCCCGCGGGGAGCTGGGGCCTCTCGCGCTGCCCCTCAGCCCCCAGCCCAAAGGTGGCTGGTCCCCCAGCGCCCCTACCATGCGCATCCGCTCGTCTTCCAGGTTTCGCAGGACGGTGGCAAACTCCTGCAGCGATTTGGCTGAAAGGGACACAGCAACAGGATCAGTTTTTAACGCTTCCTTTTTTTAAATTTTTATCCCCGAAGTCGTCATAGCAACACATCCCTAGTGACGGACACTGCTCAGGGAAGGCCAGAGCACCCGCGCGGGCCAGCTCACACTGCAGACAAGCAGCACAGTCCAGCCTCTGCCAGGAGGACAGCAGCTGCTGGACTCCATGCGCAAGGGACCTGCGGCTCCGACGCTGCCCGAAGCGGCCGATGGCAGCTCCCCGTGTGCGTAGCCCTCACCCGCGACACCCCTGCTTGGAGCAACAGTTTGGGGCTCTTTGCACGAACCTGCCCACATATGAGCTGGCTTCAGTCCAGCTGTCCCAAGCAAGCAAAGCTGCCGCTTCCCCGACGGGCTGGGGAGGGATGCACACGCCACAGGGGCCGGAGAGCCTGGGCTGCGCTGAACACTGCAGCACACATAGACAACCCCAAAGCCTGGCTTTTCCCTGCCCCGCATTCAGAATGCAGTGCCCAGGCCTAAGGCTGCTGGATTTGTGCAGTAAGATGAACTCTTACGCAGCTCCCACATAGGCCAGAGGGCAGAGAAGGGTTTCTATCCTCCGTCCTCTCCCCTAGAAATGTTTATAGCTACCCCAAAAAAGCTGCTGGTAGTGGAGCAGTCCCAGCCCCACATTCCCAGCTCCGGGGAGGACAGCCCCACAGTCCAGACACTGCTGTGCCCCCAGGGCTGACCTCAGCGCAGCCGAGCCCCGGCCTCAGCTGAGCTCAGCACACAAGTGACCGTCACTTTCCATCTCCACGAGAGCACTTGGATGAGAAACCATTTTGCCACAAGACCAATACAAACAAGCAAGCAAAGCAATTGCACAGGATGCTTTAAAAGTCCAGCTTGTGCAGAAGTAGGGAACGACATGGGAGAGGCTGCTGCTCTGAACCTAGAAACGTTGCACTCGCTGCTGGTGCGGAGAGGCTCACGGTTTGGAGGGCACCATGGGCTCCCGACGACTCGTCACGTAGGCGGCGAGTGTCTGAGGTGGCCCTTTCCCGAGCGTGGCCCAGCTCTCAGGGCCCCGGTTGTCTCCCCCAAAATCCCAATCCCTCGCGGTATATTTAGCTGTGGCTACAGCTCCAGATTGCTGCTCCCAAACAGGAAAGGGCGAAGATACCCTAGATGGTTTCTGACATGGACAACCTTCTTCCTTGCTTATTTGACAGGGCTAGATTTAGGGCAAGAAACTACAAGTGTTCTCTGTGTGAAGGTTTGCCAACGTTGAATTAAGAGGCACTTCCATTAACACAGGCCAGGGTCTGGGTCTCCTGATAGTCACGTGTGTATTTCCACGGCACGCACACGGGCTCCGGCGCACGGCTCCGTGCTCGCCGTGTGGCGTGCGCTGTGCTCACCTATGCAGATCTCGTCGTCCGTCTCCGCGTCACCTATGCAGCGGAACTTAAATTCATTGAGAGAATCTGCAAACTTCCGCTTGGCTGCAGACAGGTCTGTCAAGAAAGGAAGAGACAGGTATGAAAGGCGGCCTGACCCACACAGCAGCATCGGCTGAGCTGGCAAATCCCCCGGGAGGGATCCGCTGCATTAGGTCTGCCGCTGCAATCGCAGCTAACGCGATGGGAACGTCCCTGTGCTCTGCGTGCACTGCGGGCTGGCACTACGGGAGAGGGATGTTACCCAACCGCTCATCATGAGAGCCCCGCGGGACCCAGCCCCAGCACCGTGACACAACACCGCGACACAACACCGCGACACAACACCGTGACTCGCCACTGTGGGGTCAGAGCAGCTCCCGCGCTGCCCCCAGACGCCGCCTATCCCTGGAAAGGCCTTGTCGGAATGAAGGCTCCGCTCGCAAGTGCTAATGCACCGGTTTATTACTTTGCAAGTCACAGATTCCCTCCTAGACGTGAATCCTATTAAGTTATTACTCGGAACGCGGTGAGCCGATCAGGATTGGCTTTCCGGAGTGGCCCCGTAACCTCCTGCCCAAACGGCCACACTGGGCACAGCGAGGCCAACCAGCTTGGGCAGCAGCTTGTACTGGAACAACCTAAGCGCCTCCGGGAATACCAACAGCATTAAGAAGACATTACGCTAAACCCCTGGGTATGTCCTCGCTCCAAGCTCCCCAAGCCCAGGGATTTTGCTCCTCTACAAGCAGCGGTGCAAGATGCTCGCACGCACGAGGAGGCTTCCCCCTTACAGACACGGCCAGAGAGCGGCTACAGGCCCAGGGCCTTGCGGGAGAGGGGAGCACGGAGCTGCTTCGAACAGCGGAGCTGCTCTCCAAGGACCTCCGCACGCGCCCCGGTGCTGAGGCCGCCACACTTCAGCACACGAGTGAGACTGCTGCTCTGCAGTGGGAGAACACGGTGGGGCTGGGGCATCAGGAGAGCCAGGGGCTTTCCTGGGTGACACGGGGCAGGGTGAGGAGCCACGGAGCCCACACGGAGCCACGCACCGGGAAGGAAGGAGGAGGCGCAGGACAGGCAGCGGGAAGCAGAAGTCTGTCTCGCACCAAGACTGGTGCTTTACTCCCACCCGAGCACAACCAGGGCTCTTCCTCCCCTTAATGGCACATTATGCGGTGAAGGCACCTGGATCTGGGGGCAGTGCTTTCAGCAACACCTTCTGCTACAGCAAGACCTAATCTGCAGTGAGCAAAGTCCAGGGCCTTCCTCTGCTGCCCTCCCCTCTGCTCCAAGGGGCAAATGCCTCTAACATTCCAAAACTAGACACGAAAAGCCTGCAGGAAAGTTCCCACGTTAAGGGCTGCATGCGGCTGTGCTAGCTGCACATTAATTCTAATTAGAGTCACTTAGGGAAAGGAAGCCAAATGTGCCAGGGCTCCGTCGCCTCCCGGCTCGCGTGCCAACCACGGAGCTCCAAGGGCACTCGCAGGAGAGGGGCCAGGGCTGGCATTGCCAGGCACCACAGAGACCCCATGCGCAGAGCGGATCAAGGAGGCCCCGGCCGTGCATCACGGAGATGCACAGAGATGCCGTGTGCTGGGCACACGCTGCCCATCAAGATACCAAAACACCGTGTGTCGCGCAGACCCGACACCTGGCAGAGACCTGGGGCCTCCCACGGGCCCTGTGCGCTGCGGAGACGCTGGGCATCGCGCAGACCCCGTACACCTGGCAGACCCCGTGCACCAGCAGGTCGTGCCGGGCAGGCAGCGCCCATCAGGGCAGAGGGGAAGGCTGGCAGCTCCAGGGCGAGGAGATTCCTGCTCCCCCTGCTCTCGCCTCCCCGCGCCTGCCAAATCCAACTCCGTGGTGAACGTGCAACGCACCTAGGATGTGTTTCCTGCTCAGCGCTCCTCCGGGTCTCTGGCAGGGCAGCTCCCATGGACAGCGGCTGACCTGCAGCCTCTGGAGCTCCTAGAACGTTCTGAGGGTCGCTGTGAGCGTCTCTCTCGTGGCACTTCCTGCACTTTCTCTCGCACACGGTGGCCGGACATCAGGGACTCTCGATGCCCACTGGTGCAACCCAGCGACGTACGAGAGCTGCGCAGCGCCACACGAGAGCTGCGCAGCGCCACAAGGTGCATCGTCCCTGTGCAGCAAGCGCACAGGGCCTCACAGCCACCCAGGTCCCTGCGGGACCGGCCAGCGCAGCCGGAGCCGCCTTTCCCGGTCCACGCGAACGCTGAGTTCCCCTGGGTGTCCCTGGCCACTGAAGGGAGGGGAAGCAGCAGGGACCAGCTCTGAGCCAGGTCCTGCCTCCCAGCACAGGAGCGCAGCACCCACGGGCAGCACGGCACGGCATGGCACAGCTTGGCACCACAAGCCCACTGCCCCTGCAGAGCTCGAGCTTGATGAAACCTCCAAAATACCCCATGGATGAGGCACCCGGCTGCAAGAGCAGAGTGATGGGGCGATTCCTGGGGACGGGCAGGGAGCCAAGGGGCTGCCACCACGCAGCCAACAAGCCCTGCTGTAAAAACGCGCTGACTGGGATCGTCACCAGCTGCCAAAGGCAAGTTTTATAAAATCAGGGATCAGAGTAAGATACGGCCACGTAGGATGAGCCACCAAATTGTGCAAGAGCGGCTGCTGCTGTGTGTGACCTCGCGCCGCGCGGGCCTGGGCTCTGCAGCTCCCCGAGGGCCCCGCGGCGGG